GCCCTCGGCTCCGCTCGAGCGCCTTTAGTTTTACACCAACCATCGTCCCCCAACGACTGAATCTTTTCGGAACTCGATTCCGTGTGGAGCACGGCCGGGGGCAGCTTGAAACACGTACATTTTTTAAAAAGGGGAAAAAAAGGTCGATGGGTGGAAATTTCGGCTGTTCCCGATGGTCTGAGTTTGATTTAAAAATCGTCTCCCGAGCCCCCGAAACCGAGCGAGCGGGAGAAATGCCAGTCGCAGGCTTTGATGGCAAGTTTGAACATGGTCGCTCTGTTGGCTCCACGCACAACCCGCAACCTGAGCGCTCCCGCAGTCCTTTCCTCCTCGCTCCGTCGTTGAAAAGCGTGAATCCAACCCCCCCCCCCCCCATTTTAGGGATAAAAATAATAATGATGATTTCCAACGAAACGCGCTCCGAACTGCTTGTGTTTTACAGTCTCTGAATCAAAATACGCACATACAAAAACGCACAAGTCTTCCTGCCAGCGCCGCTTCCCCACCGAATGCAGCTTCTCCACTAACTTGGGAACATCTTTCCTCCTGGAAAATAACGCATCGGATCGCCTCTGCTCACCCCCCATGGTTACAACCCCATCGAATAGACGTCTCCTTCCCCTAAAAATAACCTAAGGTTTGCTTGTTGGGAAAGACCAGCCACGGCTCCTCTGCGGAGAGAGACCCGGCTTGGTTTTTCAGCGTGTAAATGCTCGGCGGTCAGTTTCCCGTTTGAAATTGCCGATGTAGCTACGTGATGGGTCAGGATCTTCCCCCCATATGGAAAGAGTTAGATGTTGTGTATGTGTAGGTGTCTAGCTATATAGAGATTTATATACAGAGACATCTGTATATCTCTCTATTTAAATCTCTCTATCTAGATAGACATAGATAGACACACACATATGCACACACGGTAGATATACACACGCAGAGACAGTATGCATATAACGTTTCACTGCTTGCTGCCCGTATCGATAGATTATATAATCGAATATGTAGCCGGCTGGCTATAGGGAGGAACTAGTGAAACATGACATATGTATACAGTTCAAGTCAACAATCCGCAGAGATTATAAAGATCCTTCTATGGGATGGAGACGGTCTCTATTTCGGTACTGCTGAAACGCTAGTATCTGTAACACCACATCAGTCTAGATTTAGACTAGGATCTATCCCGGCATCGAGAGAGACGGATTTCCAGAGTGCTTCAGTAATTTTCCATAGAGATATGGAATGTATATACAGTATATACGGTCGTTTTCCAGAAGGAAAGTGCTTATTACCGGTATGTCTGTGCGTGTGTAAAATACACACGTACACGCTTAAATCTACCTGCATTTATACGGGGAAAGGCTGAGCCGTCTCAACGATACACAATTCCATATGCCTTCAGCTACGCATACTTGTAGCTAGCTCTATAGAAAGTCTGTGCATGCACACACATGTGTTACACACACGTCCAGACGCGGCCATACAGTCACATATGCACAGATCCTACGCACTGGCTAAAATCCAGCCCAGCCCAAATGCCCCAGGAATTTCCCCCAAGAAAACAGCGCGTCCCGAGCATGTGCTGAACCCCGAGTCAGCGCTGCCTGTTCTGCACCTGTTACCCCGTTTGCCCGAGCCATGCAGGAGAGCCATGCACAATCACACCCCGTGCTTTCCGATACCTGCGCCTGCAGCAGCTCAAACATCCCCCAAGTGACTTTTTTGGTGGGGGAGAGAGAGAGATTTAAGCTTTTCCCATTTTTTTAAGTCTCCTTTCCTGCTGCTCCCGTCCAGCGGCTGCGTCTCTCTCTTTTCCCCCTTTCTCCACGTTGTATCCTTCCCACCCAAGGGCTTCCAAAATTCGCCAAGGCTCCTGGCTCCATCTCTGCTGGTGCCAGCGGTGAAGATTGTCCTCCTGGAAGGGGCTGGAAGAGATGAGCAAATTTCAGGAGGCTCTGGAGGCTGCGGTTGGGTCTTGAAGGGTTTTTAGTTGAACCCCACAACAATAAATGTGTTGCAGAGGAGGCTAGAAAAGAATGGGGATGGCCTTCAATTGGTACTGAATTTGAATAACACCACAGGGTGATAAATGCCCATTGTGTTTTAGGAGTAATGAATCTCCACTGTCTCCATAGCACAGAAACAGCAGCTGCAACCTGGAGCCAGCCATCTCTTAAAGACACAGCGCCCGCAATGTGGGAGCGGGGAAGGCCACGCTCTCCGCCCGCACCAGCCAGTGCATTGGGTGCCCGGGCTGCGGGCGGGCGGGCGGG